AGGCCTGGGCAAGGGGCCGATCCTGCGATTGGAGATTGATGGGGGTAAATGCCTGAGAGCTCCCAGTATGTGAGAGGGGGCAGGCTGGGCTGAGGGACACTCCCCCTCACCCCCACCCAGTGAACGAATTTCGTGCACCGGGCCCCTAGTATATATATAATATATACTATATCATATATTATATATATATAATCATAAATATAGAATATGTAAAAAATAGGCTGTGGACTGAGCCAGGGATAACCATGGGAGTCATTGCTTAAGATAGAGCACTGGGGGTGAGCAGTTTGTGGTGAGGAGGGAGAAGAGGCAGTGAGGTCTAGCTGGGAATTCTAAGGCGGAGGCGCCTGCGGTACGAACAGGTGGAAAGTGGTGTGGGATCAGCAGGTGGGCCGCCTTAGGTCCGGCCTGAGCCGGCGCCAGGTAGACTCAGGCAGGCAGGCGTGGAGGGACATGCTTCCCCGGTCCCTGCGGATGCCGCTCACTGGCCGAGCCAGGAGGGCACCTGCCAGGCACAGTGCCTCTACTTGGCAGAGGTCGGGCTGGCGTAGTGATTAAAGGTACAAAATGATGATTTCAATAGGTACTGAAAAGTACAATGACTACAGTTGAATGACAGTAATCCAAAGCTCTGAGATTTATGTTTCATTACTTAATGAACATCCAATAGTTGAAGATAACATGCTTTAGGAAAAATGCATTTTAATGAATATAAAAATCTAACTTCCTCATTACAGATCACAAACTGTAGAATTATAACAATGAACATGTCCACCTGACCCCCCGCTCCCCGGTGCCTAATTATTTTATGAAGAGAAAGTTAAGGGTAACATTTTGGCTTCTGGACATAGGTGTCTGCCTGCACCAGTTTCCTCAATAATTCAATCCAAAGTAGAAAAAAAGTGCTTTCCTTCAATGTTTTTCTTGATGTCAAGTTGAAGGTTGTGGTGTGGCTGAGCACATTACTGGCTACCTAAGCAAGTTCCTTCCTCCTCCCCCTGGGCCCCTTTGGAAGGGTGGGGCGTCCTGGGCTCTGCTTGAGGCCAGATCCTTTGATATAGGCAGCCTAGTGTCATTAGACAGGAAAGCCTGCACTTGAGCCAAGTTACACAGTGTATGTCCTGGCACCGACTTCAGTGTGCACCTGGGTTTCCAAAAAGGAAAAACAGAAACCCACATTCCTTCCTTTTTCTTTTGGGATTCAGCACTAACACCATTTTGTTGAAATTCCATAGGTTAAGTTTCATCAAAGTAGAATTTGTTTATGTAAAATTACATACCAGATGTTCGCTGCCATGGAAGTTGTGGAGTATTTTATTGCCAATGTGGCCCTTGTGGATTTCACAATTATAAACTGAAGCAAGGTTGTTTATATAAGTTTCAGCTGTAGACAGTATGGAAGTGTGGTAGCAGGGCCTCTGGCCTTGCAGACAGGTCTACTATTTTGTTGGTTTTTAAATATACCCGTAAACAAATTGATAACTTGAGCTTGTAAAATGTGGAGTTTGGAGAAGTACTAATTTAGTGGCAAGATTTTATATTTTTTAAAGTATTTTCTAAATCTTGCCACCAGTTTGGTATGAGACTGGAGGTGAGCTGAAGTTACGATGAGGTCTGGAGCTTTGAGTTAGATTCCTCTTTCATAGCAGAATGCCTCCATTTCTGTGCACACACCCGCAGCTGCAGGGTTGGCTAAGATGCAGATTGCCAGCCCCACCCAGAGTTTCGGGTTCAGGATCCTGGGCACAGCTTGAGAGCTTGTATGTCCATCACGTTCTCAGGTGATGCTGCTGCTACTGGTCCCGGGACCCCGCCTAAGCACCCATCCTGCAGCAATAGTTCCTACTGTGGAGGCACCAGACTTCTCCAATCAAAATCTGGGGGAGAGGGTTCGCCTTTACCCAGCAGATTGAGGATTTAGACAAACGAAACTAGCCAGTGACCAGTGGCCTATTGCCTGGTTTTAAAAGATGAACTGGACCAATCGGGTTTTTTTTTCAAGGCAATTTGAATGCCCACCAGTGATCGGAGAGAGCAAAACCTGAGGGAGAAGTGAGCCAGTCAGAGGCTGGGCCAGAGCGTCTGAACTCCACCCGTGAAAAAGAGCTTAGCCGACAGAGCTGGGAACCACTGCCATGCAGAGGGGATGAGAGCAGCATCAGGGACAAGCAGATGAAGCGAATTCAAGGAGCTCCAGAGGAGCACACAGCTAGAACAGTGTCTCCAAAGTGGGTGTGCCACCTGGGAGCTGAGGAGAAACGCAGAATCCTGGGCTCATCATCGAGTCTTCTGACCACAAACCCTGAAGGTGGGGCCCAGCAAAGTGTGGCCGACAAACCCAAAGGATCACTCTAACGCAGGCTGCATTTTGAGCACCAATGAACTAGTGCTGCGATTTTCAACCATGCGCCGCAAGCATGTTTAAAACATGCAGGACCTATTTAGACGGGGGCCCTGACCTCTTTTCCCTCAGAATCAGTGGTTCTCAACCTTCCTAGTGCTGCCACCCTTGAATACAGTTCCTCATGTTGTGGTGACCCCCAACCATAAAATTATTTTCGTTGCTACTTCATAACTGTAATTTTTCTACTGTTATGAATCGTAATGTAAATATCTGATATGCAGGATGTATTTTCATTGTTTGTGACCCACAGGTTGAGAACCGCTGCATCAATTAAAAAAAAAAATGACAACAGCCAATACAGCAATAGCCTTCTAGTGTGAGTGAATAAAAATTATACCTATTATTAGTGAGACCAACAAAAACTATATTTTTGGTGTGCCTCAGAATTTTAGTGATTAGTTTATGTGCCATGAGATGAAAAGGTTGGAAGTCATTGAACTAGAGCTTTGCTGAACTGACCTGGCTGCTGGGACTCCAGAAGCAAGCCAGGCTCAGCATTTTGATTTTCATTTATATTTCCTTTATATTACCATTTATAGTTTTTCAATAAACCCTTTTCTCTGCATGAGGCTTGAGGACTCACAGCTCTGTGTAATCAACTGTTCTAACTTAAAGTCAATAGGAAATTTTAGCCCAAAAAAGACATGAAGTGGAAGAGAATAATCATCTATCTGCTCTGAATAGCACACATCTCTGAACTAGTGGTTATCAACAGCACCGAGTGTCCCTTAGGGTCACCGGGTGACAGTGAACAGATTGATACCAAGGGCATTCCACTGGCAATCCTGTCAGCTTCTCTGCTGGTGGGGACCAGGTTTCATCTTTTCCTAGGTGACTGCAATGTTCAGACAAGGCTGGGAATGCTCCCTTGGTTCCAGATAAATAATACCGCAAGCTACTGAAAAACCTTGTGCTGTGATACGGAAACCACAATCAGTAACTTTTAAGGGTCATAGAATACTGAAGAGATGAAATGCACCATTGGAGGGCAGTTGTTCTGGCCTCACTGTGTACAGAGGGAGCGGAGGGTGAGCTGGGTATTACCATCGGCAACTGAGGAGACTGAAACTTAGAGAGGCCACAGTGCTGGTGAACATAAAACCAAGGTGTCAGCCAGTGCTGGCCCTGGAAGTACTCAGACATTAAATGAGACACCTTGAGTATTGATCAATTTAACAAGCACACATGTCAACATTTTAAAATAATAATATGCATACACCTTCCCCTTCTTATGTAGATGGTGACATACTATAAATATTTTTTCTATTTCTTGATTTTGTTATTTTAGAATGTATTTTGCAAATAATTCTATATTCGTATATGGAAATCACTTCATTTTTATAGCTACACTAGGGTTCTGGTGCACAGATTCATGCACATTAAAAGGAAATTAATTAGAATATTTTATTATCGCTTTTCACCCTTTCTTTATAATAAGAGTGTCAACCAAATTCACGATCCGCAATGAAAGATCAAAACACACACGTGCAATTGAAACCAGCAAGAGCTTTATATGTATCGCGCATGCGCAAATCAACTTAGCCATATATATAATAAACTTGCTTAATTAGACCTGCTTTCTGATTTACTTAAACTTTTTCCAGCCCAATGAAGCACCCCAACTTCTCTTTCAGGTGATTGTCAGCAACACAGAAGTAAATATCAATCAATACGAAGCAGATTATTATTATTATAGAGCACACAGAAAGAACAATGGGAAGCAGTGTTTGACTATATTATACAGTGAGAAAACCTGAAGTCATTTTCAAGGTCCACCATTTCTTACTGCTTTTCAGTTGGGTCAAGTTTATAAATTTTCTAAATCTCTGTTTTCCAGCTAGTGAAAAGAAAATAGGATTCCACCAAATCTCCCATCTACCTACTCCAGGACTTCTGTGAGGATCAAATGAGATGAGGCACATGAAAATGCCTCACAAATATTTGGTTAAACTGTAAATTGTTTGCACCTGGCTATAAAGCAAGCTGGGTTCCTGGGCTGAAGAAACTCCAAGGAAGCTAGTCACTAGGAGAGGAAGCCAGGCATTGCTACGTGATGTCATTACCTGGCGCCCACAGCAACTGTTTCTGGGCTGGGCTGGGCTGTGTGCCACAGTTTGCACCATGAGTCTTGGCAGTGTTGGCTGTGATTTGGTGGGATGTTGCTCTGGGATGGTGGCAGGGCTTGGATCCCACTTGGAGGAAGCCGAGAGTTGGTTTATCGGCACCTGGTCCACAGTGCTGTTTATTCTTTTTTTAAAAATTTATTTTGTTTTATTGCTTAAAGTATTACAAAGAGTATTACATATGTCTCCTTTTTTTCCCTTGAAATTCCCCCTGCCTCCCCTACCCCCCAGTGTCATTTATGGATAATAAAGACCATTATAAACTGATGAACAAAAATAGATACAGAGGCATAGCAGCATCAACCAGACTGTCAAACGACACCGGGAAGGCTGGGGAGGGTTGGGGGGGCAGGAGGGGGCGGCTAAGAGATCAACCGAAGGACTTGTATGCATGCAAGATATTCTTAAATGGCCAGTGCACGTCATGGCAGCTCCTATGTTGAGCATCTTCCCCCTGGTGGTCAGTGCACATCATAGCTACCAGTCAGATAGACAGACACCTAGCCTTTTATATATAAAGATAGTACTCCTTTGTGTAAATATACCATAGTTTATTCAACTAGCCCCACTGGGCATTTGAATTTACAATCTTTTGAGATAAAAATAAAGCCACATTTAATAAAATTGAACATTTGTTTTCTTTTATTTTTGCAGATGTACTTTTGGGTTTGAATACTAGAAGCAGGATTGCTGAATCAGAGTAACTGTGTATTTAGTGCTGTTCAATGTTGCCAAATTCTCTTCCACACAGACTGTACCATTTTTTATTTTCAGTATTTAGGTAGGAGAAGCAAGCATTCCCCTCAAATTTGCCATCAGAATAAGTCATCAAAATTTCCCTATCAGTGCAGTTGTTTCTTCTCTTTGAGGGAGATGGAGTGTGCATTCAGAGCTCAAGGGTCATGGACATTCATTATACTCTACTTATCTCATATCTCTTACAATTTTCTCAGAGAGTTGTTCTTTTTCTGTCCATTTTAGCAGGTTTAAAAAATACATTATTGATATTAACCCTTTTTTATTTTTAAATCTTTATCATTGTCTTTTCAGTTTGCTTTTGGGGGAGAAGGCTTGTAAAATGTTTTATTAGTATTTACAAGTGACATATTTTGTAGTTTGGTTAGGAAACCTTTGTCAGATTTTGTACTATTTTAATCCTTGTTCTAGTCAATTTATTTAAAGACAAACATTTTTCTTCTTTTTCTATCTTCTGAAATACATTAAGAAATATTACTTCTAGCTGCTTTTTACAGTTTGGTAAAATTTCCATATGAAATTTTTGGGGGTTATCACAAATTTCGTTCTCTTTTGTCTTTCTTCCTTTTATATATATTGGTCAGATTAGACTTCCTACTTCGATGATGGTTGTTTTGCTAAGTTACATTTTCCATGAACAATCTCTAGCATCTAGATTTTCAAATTAATTTGAATATATTTGTACAGAAAGGCTTCTTTTATTTTGTTTTAATTCATTTGTTTAAAACACCTTTTTCTCTTTGTCATTTTTTAGTGTGTATTTGAGCTTTCTCTCCTGTGTGGATTAAGTAGTGAGGTATTTGGCTGATTCAGTGATCTTTCAAAGAACCGGCATTTGTTTCATTCATTAGTTTTCAATAATTCCTGAGTAATTGCTTCTTTATCTTTTATTTCCTTCTGTGTTCCTTTAGTCTATTTTGTTCTTTTCCTAGATTTTTGAGTTAGAAGCTTATTCTATATATTAGTGGCCCAGTGAACAGATTCATGCACATTGAAAATAAATTAATTAGAAGAAATATTTTAATATTGCTATTCTCCCTTTATAATAGAAGTGTCAAAGATGAAATGAAATTAGTAAAATGTATATGAAATAATATATAAATTAATTAATAAACAATAACAATA